ATCAAGACTGCAGCAGGAATATGGCTGGATCAATCACTTCCGGAGAGTAATGATGAAGCCAAGATGGATGTGGAGGAGGGGCCACACAATCTGGAGCCAATGGAGGATGCTGCCATGGGGGATCCGGACGAGGAGGACTATGTTGCGGTTCCAGAACATGAAGACGAAGATCTGGACCAGCAGCAGTACCACAGCACGGAGGACGAGTATGTCAACGTTCCATTGGACGACGACGACAAGCAGCAGCAAGATGACGATGCTAGGTCTGATGCTACCACAGTAAAGCTGGGGGATCACCTTCGAAAGTCGCCTTCTCCAGTTGACCAGGACCAGGCAAGTGGCAGCAGCGACAGCATCGCGAGGATGGGGGCCGCTCTGGGGCAACGGTTGAAACTGCAGTCTTCGGCGCCAGCAAGACTGGACATGGTGCCCGAATCTTCGGAAATGAAGCCCGGGGCCGCTGTGGATGAAGGGTGGGGTGGCCCCCCGCAAGGCAGAGTGCCAAGTGGGCCGAAAGGCAGAGTGCCAAATGTCCCCGAAGGCAGAGTGCCAACAGGAAAAGCGGCCACGACCATGAGAGAGGCCAAGTCACAAGTCTTTCAAGCTCCCGTTGTGACAATGGTCCAGACAGGTCTCTCATTGAAGAGATGCTCACAAATTGCACGCTTGTCCAGGCAGCCCCCAGAAGGCGAAGCGTTCAATAAGTGGCACAACCGACGGAAGTTTAACACAGAGACATGCACCGTATTGATTCAGATGCTGTACGCGGTGCATGAAGTGACCATGGCAGAGTGCCTTAGGCAGAAGTTGCCGCTTGATGCCAATGTGCCTAATTTTGACACATTCAAGTCCAAAGGCGGCAAGCTTTCGTTGCTCTGGAACTTTCTGCAGAAAGAGGGGATTTCGGAGATCCAGGATCAGTGTGAGCCCGCGGAATGGCACCTGTGGTTGACAAGGGATGTGGCGCTCACGGTGATTCGGCAACTCCTTGAGTTGATGTTTACTGTCAAGGTACCTCAGTGGAATGACTATGTCGACGGCCACAAAAATTGGGCCATGGGCCAGCTTCGATGGCATCGGGCAAGCGATATGCTGATAAATCGATGTTCCCAGATGGACATCTACACAAAAGTTTGGCACCAACCGCAGGACTTGAACAGCTTTATCATGCCGTTGTCGGGCATGATATGGAGGGCATTTAACAACACGATCCTCCTCTTCTGCCTCAAAACAATCCAGGAGGGTGAACGCAGGGCAGCCGCCGAAGGCGGGACAAGTGATCCTTCACAACAGGCGGTCCTCTCACTTCGTGACCCTCTGCCCGAGTCTGATGAGGACGAATCAGAGGAGGAGAGATATGAACGGGGAGAGGAACCGTACTTCGACAGCTTCATCCTTGTGTCGAATGTGGCACCGGTGGAGGCCACGGCATTTTTTTCAATGCCGGATTGGGGCTCCACTGCAGATGGCTATGACTAATATACTGTCAATTAATATTAGTCAGTTTATAATGATTAAATTAATCAGCTGGTGAACTTCTAGCCATATGCCGCCATGACTCGTGGCTTGGAATCGACACTTGTGCACTTCAGATGGCAGAGTGCCAGAGTGTCGTGAGTTAAGGCAGAGTGCCAGTGCTGGCAGTGGTGTTGCTGCCAGGGCAAAATCTTGTCTTTTCTCTTGAATCGAAAGCTGAGCCGTAGCCGGTCGTCAAGGTGTTTGAGGTAGGTCCTTAGGTAGGTCAATTTATTATACCAGAGCTCGGCTTTCTTGTTCTTAATTTAAGGCAGAGTGCCAATCACATTTCTGGGCACCTTTGACGTTTGCCCCATTTGAAGTTGCCGTCCGGACGGGCACATTTGAGATTGCTCGGAAAAAAATGCACAAGGTCCTTGTATGCACAGGAATGAATGGCACAGAACAGTCATGTCGGCAGCAACTTGATGGATCCCTGTGCTTATTTCTGATCTGAATGCAAGCTTGTGTTGGTTTCA